ACCCAACACCAACATCATCTCAGATGGGAATCTTTCCTCCTGTTGACTGTGGTCTAGTTGGCAGCTGACTGCACAGACTAGAAAGAGTGGAAAAAGGAGAATTGAATTACTATTTTTTAAAAATATTTGCAATGTATGAGACAACATCGAGGAATCCAGAAAAATATTGGGAAGTGAAACAGACCCGAATTCAAACTCTGATTTTGTCTCTTATTGGCTGTGTGGGCTTAGGCAGCTAATTAACCACCTTAAAGTTCAGGCACCTTGCAGCATTGTTGTGGGGATTAATAAGCAAATATGCAACGCCATTAACATGTACTTATTAAAATATATTAAATGTGTCTTTCAAAGGAAAAGAACTACCCATTTCTTTAAAAAATTAGCACCATTAACTTCTATGAAATAATGGGTTTTAATTCAAAAGTATGCTTATACATACTTTGGTATCATACCCTCTCCAAATCACTATCCACTTTATTCCATGTCCTCCTCCTGGTCTCCTTCATTTTCACCAATTGTCCCTTGTTCCATTTTCATGGCGTCTTTATTTTCTTTTCTTTCTGTAGATTCCATGGATGAGATAATGTATGAAATATTTATCTTTCTTAGTCTATCTCATTTTGCTTAACATGATGCTTGGCAGTTCCATTGATTTTCCTGTGAAAGAAATGATTTTATTCTTCTTTATGGATGATTGAAGCTCTTTGAAGGGGGTAAAAGATAGCCTAAGATGATCTGACTCTGGGCCTGCAACATTCACTGAAACTCTCACAAGTCCACCAGCCTCGGAGAACTTGGACACAGGTGAGGTTTTTCCTGGTCATTTCAGTTCACATATTCCTTTGAGTACTTTGAGTGTGTTCCCAAGAGTGATATAGCTGGATCATATGACAGTTTCCATTTTTAGGGGAAGAGCATCTATACTTATTTCCAATAGTGACTGTAACTAATTTTCATTCCCACCAACAGTGAATATAGTTCCCTAGTCCCCACATCCTCACCAGCATTTGTGGATTTTGTTTTCTTGGTGACCATTCTTTCTGATTTATAGCTGGAAATTTTCCTGGTCCTGCCCAGCTCCCACAGCTCTGTAGTCCTGCAACTGCTCAGACCCAAGTAAACACACAGAGGCTTATATTAATTAAAACTGCTTGGCCATTAGCTCAGGCCTACCACTGACTAGCTCTCACACTTAAACTCAGCCCATTTCTGTTAATCTATGTTGCCATGTGTTCTGTGTCTTTACCTGTGTGCCATTACATGCTGCTCCCTGGACAGCGGGCTGGCATCACTTGACTCAGTCTTCCTCTTCCCAGAATTCTCCTTGTCTGCTTATACCGCCCATACTTCCTGCCTGGCTACTGGCCAATCAGTGTTTTATTGAACCAGGATACAAAAGCATTATCCCACACCACTGACTATAGTGAGATAGAATCTCAGTGTCATGTAGTATTATTGCCTTTCCCTGCTGATTAAACCTGTTGAACATTTCCTTGTGGAACTATTGACAATTTGTACTTCTTTTGGGAAGTACAGTTCAACTAATGTGCCCACTCATTGATTGAATTGCTTGTTTCTTGCACTTCACATTTTTGAATTTTTCATATATCTTGGATACCAGTCTTCTGTGGGATGGATAGCTGGCAAAGATCCCTCCCATTTTTGCAGGTTGTCTCTTCATCTTAACTTTCCTTTGTTGTGTCTTTTAATTTAGTGCAATCCCATTTGCCAATTCTTGCTAGCATTTCCTGTTCTCTTCAGAGTTTCTTTGCCCGTGCCACTGTTCTGAAGAGTTTCTCCTGTTTTTGTATACTACTTTTTCAAGTTTTAGAAGATCTATCTACTTTAGTTATTATAACCCCAGGACAGCAATGGGAAGGCTTAGAATCCAGACCAAAATAAAAATCTTAGCTGTAAATCAAGGATTGTTAGTTCCCAAAGCGAGGGCGGGGGAGCCTCATTTTAGGGTTGAAATTACACCCTGCATGTTACAGTCTGTACTTTCTGCAATGCTTACTACAACTTTACCAAGTGAGTTTTTCTATCTTCATTTATACAGCAGGAAACTGAATCTCAAAGACACCAGATGGCCTGCCTAGGGACCCAGAGCACTGGGTATCCCAGCTAAGATTTAAATCTTGTTCTGTCCAATCACAACTCCCCTCTTTACCATGCTGTTTCAAGTCCTATTAAGAAGCATATTTATTTATTCGTTGCAAGGGAATATCAATGCTTCATCATTCGCACAGGTTTCTCTTTTCAACACTGACTCTTGCTGTGCTCATCAGGGTGATGTTGAACAGGTGAGGCAGGAGTTAGAGTGATTTCAGGTTTGCATTCGTGAGGCGGAGGAAAGCTACTTAAAGATTTCTTCTCCTGAATGCTCTTTGAAAAATAAAGGATTGCAGCCCAATCCCTCCTCTTCCTTTTTGGTTGTCATTGCATTCTTTTTGGATTAAGGGTGTCCAGTTTCCTTGGGAGGAGCAAATGGCCATCTGAGTGTGCAGAGTAGAAGCCCATTCAATAAACTCCTCAATGGGAATTTCATGGGATATATTCTCACCTCATTGGGCTTTTTCACTGAGAGTCTTTCATCCACATGCACAGGTGAAACAAATGGGGAAATGATGGTGAGAAAAGAGCTTTAAAAGCTTAAGAAGAAAGAAAAAAACCAAAAGAACCCATCCTCAGGTTTGTTTGGATATGATTTAACAAGCCACAGGACCAGTAAGAGAAGAGCTAATAATCTTTCCCAGATGAGTACTATGGGATATAAAATGGGCATATATTAGGACAATCCCCCAGTTTATTTAGCAATTCTTTTTCTCATTAATTTGAGTCAATGTTCATTCATTCACTCAATTGTTTGTGTGCCTGTATTAGAAGTTCTGTCTTTAAAATGAGCAGAATCTGTATTTGATAGATCAATCAAAATGCATTAAAATATTCACTTAGGGCTGGAGGGATGGCTCAGTAGTTAAGAGCATTTGTGGCTCTTTCTTCAGAGAACCCAAGTTCAGGTCCCAGTACCCACATCAGGTGGCTCAGAATTGCCTGTAACTCCAGCTCCAGGGTATGCATACCCATATTATCTATACAAAATAAAAAATATTTTAAAAATTAATTTAACAGAAAATATACATACAAAATTTTAAAAGAATTTTAAACATGTAGTATGTTTTAAACATATGTACATATGTAGTTATGTACTCATCTGTTGATTCAAGGCTGAGCTCACTTATGTATTTGTTTTATCTTTCTTGTAAAAATGAATATGAAGTGCCAGGCATTGGCAGTGCATGCCTTTAATCCCAGCACTCTGGAGATAGAGGCAGGTGGATCTCTGTGAGTTTGAGGCCAGCCTGGTCTATAGAGAGAATTCCAGGACAGCCAGGACTGTTACACAGAAAAACCCTGTCTCAAAACAAAACAAAACAAAACAAAACAAAACAAAACAAAACAAAACAAAACAAAACAAAACATGAACACAAAGCAACAGGAATGTCTATAATGAATAATCTGTTTCTAGATCCATTTTCTTTTAATGGATCAGTAGCTTAAAGGTAATTTTTTTTTTTTTTTTGGTTTTTCGAGACAGGGTTTCTCTGTGTAGCTTTGCGCCTTTCCTGGAACTCGCTTTGGAGACCAGGCTGGCCTCGAACTCACAGAGATCCGCCTGGCTCTGCCTCCCGAGTGCTGGGATTAAAGGCGTGCGCCACCACCGCCCAGCTTTAAAGGTAATTTTAAAGCAATTTTGTTCAGACTTCCAACTTTTTACATTTTACCCTGCCCATATTTTATGATTGTTTTGCTTACAATTAATTTGATAAAGAAATATATATATATGTGAATATATATATATATATATATATATATATATATTTAGAGTAAATTTGAGCAAGGAACTAAATTTTAATTTTATTTAATGTTAGTTTAAAAACATTTAAATAGTCATATACATGGCTAGTGTCTATCAAATTGAGACAGGGTCTCTCTCTATATACCGCTGACTCTCCTGGAACATATTATGTAGCCCAGGCTAGCATCAAACTCGTAGAGACAGCCACCTGCTTCTGCCTTCTGAGTGCTGGGATTAAAGGTGTGCCCCACTATGCTAGGCTAGCTCTACTCCTTCTGAGAGTTGGCTTCTGGGGTAGACAGTTTATCAGTGTAAAAATTGGAGATCTGATTATAGTTTTCAAGGGATCACTTTGAACACTAGAAGCATTTAAGTAGTGTCAGACAGATAGTTTCTAACTTAATGGAACCTATGACCAGGATAAGTCTTAAGGTTAAAAGGACTAAAGTAGATACTAAAGAAAAAAAAAAATCAAGATGTGGAAACAAAAGTTTGGATGGATAGTCACTATGACTCTCATTACCTATAACCTAAAAATGTAACCACGAAGAGTGAGAAAATGATAGCACCATCTGCATAATAGAGTGCCACAGATAATGCAAAAATGTGTGTACTATTTGTACATGCGTGTATTCCATTGTGTATCTGTGTGCATATAGGAGCCAGAGAGGACTAGTGTCTTGCTCTATCACTCTTCATGTTCAGAACTTAGTCTCTCATTGAGACAGGAAATAAACTGGCTGCTGGTAAGCCTCCCTGATCCTTCTCTCTCTGTCCCTTCTCCCTACCAAGCACTGGGGTTACACGAGTGTGTTCTGCCAAACCCAACTTCTCATGTGTGTGCTAGGGATTTGAACTCTGGTCTTCATGCTTTCATAGTAGACCCTCTTATCTACTGAGCCATCTCTCCAGTCCAAAGGCATATCATCTTTGGAAAGATAGCTATCATATAGTATTTAGTGGTAAAGTACATTATGAAACATGTCTGAAAAATTAATAAAATATACTTAGGGTGGTTATCTGACTTACTTGAAAATAATTGCTTGATTTTTCTGACACATTTTTGGCCTTATTTATATTATCCTATTTTTTCCCCTGGAATAAGCATGTATTGTTTTTATACTAGGCCAGTAAAAAACAATAAGAATGAATTATTTTTTAGTTCTTAAAGGAACCAGATAGAAAGATCAGTCATAGTTCAGACGGGAGGAATCCCAATAGCCTTCAGAGAGGAAATGAGCTGTCAGAAAATTAGCTTTTAAACAACAAAATGAGCCTTGAATAGCGAGGATGGGGAAAGCGGAAGCAGCAGGAGGAAGAAATGTTTCTTGAACACTTGCCCTGGGAGTGCTGACATGGGTTAGCTCTTAATTGTAAGCATGGCCAGGTAGACGTATTAGGTATCAGTGTCACCCCACTTAACAGAGCAGGACATCACGACTCTGGTAGGTTAGAGGACTCTGAAAGTCAAATCATGAATCTGGAAGACAAGACTGATTTGCACACTGGCCATTGCTGGCTTTTCCTGCTGGAAGAGTTCATGGCTTGCTGGCTGTCATTCATATGCTGAGATGTTCTTTATGTGTGGTCTGCGCAAGTCTGGACTGGATTGTTCATAGGACAGTGGCCTCTCCATTCCTGTTGTCCATTCCACATAGCCTCGTCAGGGCTGAGTAATTCCTATAGCGGTTAACCTCAAAGATTGTTTGGAGAGATCCAAAGAGACAACAGGCTTGACAGGGCTTTGTGGACTGTGGATTCACATCAAGGATTTCTTATAGCTGATGACCTTGTCTTCGTGGATATTTTTTTCCAAGCCATTATAAACTTGACTTTTAGAACTGCCAATAGTGCTCCTAAAAGAAAAAGATACAGTTTAGAAATTCATGAAAGTAGCAGGAAAGTGCACAGCATTTATTTGCTTCTAAACTGCGTTTTAAAGACGCTTTTCTGACTTTTAACTGGAGCATCAGGGCTTGCTAATAGATATTTTTGAGGCAATTCCTGGCTACCTCTTATTTGAACCAAACCCTGAGCTAAGTTAGGCCTTGTGAGATGAGATCTATGTGTTATTACTTGTATAACAATGCATCACCAGCCCCTGACTCAAATAATAGCAGTGACTCTTCTATGTTTGTGGTCAAGATGTTGGGCATTGGTTGTCCTCTTATAGAGAGGAACAGGGATGGGAACATTTGGAGGTGTCCCTGGGTTCCCACAGAATTCTGTCTATCAAGTCTCTAATCACATCCTGAAAAAGTTTATTTCATTTTTTTTTAAACACTTAAGGGTTAAGAACATTGTATTTGTGCCAAGCAGACTTGGCTTGAAGTCAACATTGTGGCATTTTTTTTACCCATATGACTTGGTATATTATTTTACCTGCATGACTTGCTATATTACTATATCCCAATTTGTAAAATGGGATCAGAACTGAAGTTACAGATGATTAGGAGGCATCATGTGGGCTCTGGGAACCAAATCCAGATCCTCATCAGGAGAAACAAATGCTTTTAAATACTATGCCATCTCTCTGGCTCCTGCAAGGGACTTTTAAGACACACAGAAAACAAACATCCAGTTATAAATTCAATAAAAAATCAAAGGTGTGCTGCTGTACTGCAGGCTCTGTTATAAGCACTTCACGTGGCTTAGTGAGGAACTAGACAGAAGCCCCGTTGTCAACCCTCTTAGTGTGAATCCTAGTGGGACGAGGAAGGCATATAATGAGGAAGTCAATTGTGCAGAACTGCAAGTTACAAGTAGAAACATGGACGAGGCTGAGGGGGATTCAGAAATGCACGTGAGGGGAGATAGGCGGCATTGCTGAATTGGGTATAATGCTTGAGAGCACAAGTGAACAGAACGTTGCGTACCCCTCCAGCTTTCATGAGATGTCAGCCATTAAGGCTGTACACACTCACCCTTTGTCACCACCTTCCACCATCCTAGAATTTCACTTCCTGGCTCATCTTTTAGGTCAAGGATGCCCATGTTGTGTAGTAAAGACGTGCACAGAATGGGCTTACTGTATGAGAACAGACCTCTGGCTGCTCTGTGGGTGATAAAGGAGAGGAGAAGAAGAGAGTAAACAGAGTCCAGTCACACAGAGGTCCATTTAAATAATCTAGTTGAGAAGTGATAATGGAATTAAGTGTGGTCATGTTTAGGAAGTCACAAGTGGGTAGAGTCCAGATTTTTATTTATTTGTTTATTATTAATTAATTAATTAATTAATTAATTTTGTTTTTTTGAGACAGTGTTTCTCTGTGTAGCTTTGTGCCTTTCCTGGAACTCACTCTGTAGACTAGGTTGGCCTTGAACTCACAGAGCTCAGCCTGCCTCTGCCTCCCAAGTACTGGGATTAAAGGTGTGTGCCACCACCACTCGGCTAGAGTCCAGGTTTGTTTTGAAGCTGGAGTGCCATGAATTCCTACAGAAAAAATGTGAAATGACTCACACACACACAGAGAGAGGGGGGGGAGGGAGGGAGGGAGAGAGAGAAAGATAGATAGAGAGAGAGAGAGAGAGAGAGAGAGAGAGAGAGAGAGAGAGAGAGAGAGAAGAGAATTTTAGCCCCAAAGACTAGAAGAATGAATATATTGGAATAAAGAAGACTGTGGGAGCTGCCATAAGAGACCCAGACAGGAGTCTGAATTTGGATTTGTTGAATATTTTATGCCTATTCACATCCAAGTGGAGGAGACAGCTGATGTGAAAATCTGCAGTTCAGGAAGGACAGTCAGCCTTGAGATTTGCACCTAAGTGTAGGTGAGATCAAGCCACATGCTTAGATGAGACGGTTGAGGGAGTGAGGCTGGAGAGAGAAAAGAAGAGAAAGAAGCAGGAATGAGCTCCAGGGAACGTCACCATTTAAAGTTATGCTGAGAGTCTTCCTTCTGGTTTGAGGAATCCACTGACTCCCCAGTGAAATGTAAACATTATATAAAACCCAACCATTTGAAGTCCTAGAAATGTCTCAGAGGGTAGACAGCAAACGAAGAACTATTTACTCAAGAAAACATTTAAAAACTCTGGCTGAACTGGTGAGAGTCTTGTGCTGGCTGAAGCAAGGCCCATACACTCTTTCATCCCTGCTCCCTAAGGTAGAGTACAGCACAGTCTATCACCACCTAGAGCCATAGCCAGTGTTCCTGCTCCTCTTTGCTCTAAGTTGGAGGACTGTGTGCCTCAGGGTGTGCATGCGTGCGTGCGTGCGTGCATGCATGCGTGCGTGTGTGGCTTAGGTGGTGGTGGCTACAGCATCAACAGTTGTCTTTCTGCTCCTCTATATCTATGGCAGAAGGCAACGCTTCTGAAAGCAGGGACTCCATTCCACCCGGCTCCACCCTGTGGGATGGAGCACCAGTCCGGGAGTAGTATGGCTTAGCAAACATGGCCTTAACTTTCTCTGTTCTAGTCCTCGAATACAGTTTGCATGCTAAGAGAGGCAAGCCAAAGAGGATTAAAGCCCAAACTGGAGGAGCCACAGATCTAAAATTCTGAGAAGGAATGGGAGTCCAGTCACAATACTGACGTGTGACTCGGTGTTAAGTTCTTAGTTTTGATCTCATGAACCTGAACAGCAAAGGGAAACAGAGCAGGTGGTCTGTGTCTGAAATGTGCAATTCATCCTGGACCTGGAAGGAAGTGCTGGTGTATATATGGCACTGATGGACCTTAAGGACGTCACGTTAAGAGTAACAGAAGAGCATAGGCTGTGTGGTTAAACTCAAAGATGGGATCCCAGTAGTCAAAACCATAAAGACAGAAAGTAGAAAGTGGTTTGCCAGGCAGCTAGTAACAGGAGAAAGAGGAATTATTGTTTAATGGCCACAGAGCTTGAGTTTTGGGAAATGAAAAGGTCCTAAAGATCTAGTTTGATGGTTGCAATGCAATACGATGCATTTAATATCACTGAGCTGTGCAATTAAGAATGGTTAACCTGACAATATTTATATTACGTGTATTTTGCCATGATAAAAAAAAAATTGGAAGAAACTTAGACCATTTTACACATTTTTTTTTTTGTGCTAGATACTGCAGAAGTTTCCTTCTTTTGTACACTTTTATTTGGGCTACTATCAGAAGGTGCCAACCATATTCAGGATGGATCTTCCTTTCTAAATAATCTGATCAACTTATTCCCTTTTAGGAGTGGCCAGTGGCTTGGTTTCAGTTGATTCTGGATCCAGTGAAGGTGACAACCAAGATTAGCCATTCATAGGATGAATTCATTAATGAGTGAATGGGCCATTTTAAGTGTATGTCTTCTACAGAAGGCAATGTGCCTAAGCCCAGTGCTTCTCAGCCTTCCTAATGCTGTGACCCTTTAATACAATTGCACATGTTGTGTCGACCCCAACCATAAAATTATTTTCATTGCTATTTCATAACTGTCATTTTGCTACTGTTATGAATCGTAATGTAAATATTTGATATGCAGGATGTCTGACATATGACCCCTGTGAAAGGGTCATTCGAGTCCCAAAGGGGTCTTGATCCACAGGTTCAGAATCCCTGACTAAACCTGTCCTGTGTGTTTGGTCTGCTGCCTACAGATGCTCTGCACTGTCTTAAGACTGGCAGCAAGAAGGTCACCACTAGAGGTTGCTTCTCAACCCTGAACCAGAACTGTGAGCCCAAAGCAATCTCTCTTCTTTGTTACTTGCAAAATGGATGGAATTGTGTTATTAACAACAGAAAACACACTAAAAAGTGTTTTTGCTCATGAAGTTGCTAAAGACTAAGTTTTAAAAAGTGCTTTAAACATTGGGGTAGAGTAGATGCTCTTTTGAATTTTGCTGCAGAGGAAGAAAGGGCAGATACTTGAGAGGAAACGTGTGTGCCTATTTTCTTGTCGAAACACTCTGGCTTCCTCAGTTCAACAGTGTGCTGAACTGATGCATTCTGGGGGAGGGATAGTCATTGCCTACAGATGTATACCCAGCTGGGAGCCCATCAGGCTCCAATAGCTAGTTCTAAACCTGTGGCCACACAGAAGGTCCTGATTAAAATCAGTGGGTCACAAAACAAAACAAAAAGACATGGTTGTGGGAAAGGGGCCTGTTGGGAGGAGCGGGAGATAATTGGAGCCGGACAGAGAGGAGAGATGGTAGTCGGTGAGTAAATGGAAGGCACTACATACATGTATGGGGTTGTCAAAGAAGAGCTTTATCAAGAAAAGAAAAAAAATACTGCATGATAAGTGTCAACAGAGAAATACACACCGTGCTGTGGGAGTTCAGGGTAAAGCCTGGGGATCTGAGACAGTTTCTTAGAAGAGGTGACACTTGAGGCTGGCATTCGAAGTTCAGTGAGAGTTACCATCAAAAGAAGTGTGAAAAAGCAGCTTAAGCCATGGTGCAAAGCAGAGAGAGCCCTGACACTTGGGGGCATTAAAAGAAGGCTGGTGTTAAAACTACGAAAAGCAAGAGAGGTTGCCGCCTCACATACAGAACAGACATGCTGGTTCCGATCTGAAAGTAATGTGAGGCAATCAGGCTTTCTCCAGTACAGAGATCAAACAGACAGCTCTCAGGGCTGTGGATGATGGGCCAGCAGTAGGCTGAGGTGAGCAGGGGCAGAGTAAAGCTAGTTTTGTTTGGGGTTTTTGTAGGATGCCCTCAACTAGGTCAGTAGGCTCGTCAGCTAAGAACAACCAGAGGGGAGGCTGTTGACTTGGTGGCTGGGAGGGAGGGTGATGACTGGGTAGATAATGACAGATTTGACAGGGATTACAAGAGTAAGAGGAAGGGCAAAGGATCCCGAGGATCCTTTGGCCTATCAAGCTGGAGGTGTCAGGTGGACATTGAGTATAGGAGCCTCAGGAGAGAGAGATTAGGGTTGGAAATGTGGATATGGAGAAACCAGCATATTGCTCAGTAGCTCTCAACCTATGGGTCAAGACCCATTTGGGGATTGGATGATCCTTTCACAGGGGTCACATATCAGACATCCTGCATATCAGATATTTACATTATAATTCATAACAGTAGCAAACTACAGTTATGAAGTAGCAATGAAAATAATTTTATGGTTGGGGGTCATCGCAACATAAGAAACTGTATTAAAGGGTTGAAGCATTAGAAAGGTTGAGAAGCACTGATGTAGGCAGTTGTTATAATGATGAGAGTATGGGTCTGGGAAGATAAAGTGATTGGGGACCTGAGTTCAAATCCATAGCATTTCCACAAAGAGGCAATGGAGGAGGAGTGGATCCGGGGGAACAGGGGAGGTTGGGGCAGGGGCTGGGAGGAGGCCAGAGAGGGAGAGGAACTGCAGTTGGCATGTAATGTATGAGAGAAAAATAAAAAAAAAATAAACAAAGTCTTTACTTAAAGTAGGGGGGACCAGATATGATGCTGTGCATCTCTAACCTCAGCGGTGGGGAAGGAGAGGCAAGATGGGTCCCTGGAGCTCACTGGCCAACCAATCTAACTGGTTGGTGAGGTACTGGTGAAGAGATTCTGTTCTAAAAATAAATAAGGTGGACAGTGATAGATGAGGACATGTGACATTGATCTCTGGTCTCCATGTGCATTCACCCATAGACATCCACCCACACCCCACTGCAAAACAAAATTAATTGTTGAGGGTAGATGATATTACCCAAGCATAGTGTCAACGGGAAGAAGAAAAGCCAAGAACCTAATTCTAGTATTGAGGAAGGGAAAAGAGGGGAAAGGTGTACCAAAGCAAATGAAAGGCCTGATTAGCAACACCTGAAGATCAAAGGAGGGAGGAAGAATTTCAGCACCATCAGTGGCCAGTCTAACATCTGATGCCAGGGAGTCCAGTTCAAACGGACTGGAAGGGAGTCACTGTCTTGCTGATAGTGTCTTCTCTGGAGACTATGTCCAAACAGTCCAAGTAGAGACCTGGGAGAAAAGGGAGATCGTAACTGTCTGGCCAGTGAATGGGAAGTGAGAAGCACAGGCAAGAAGTGAAGTATTTATTTTCCCAGTATGTTCTACAAGAAAAATAGAGTAGAAATAGGTGATTTTTGGAGGGACTATCAGACCCACAGCACTTAAATTTTAAATTTTAATAAATTTTAATATAGAATGTGTAGGCTCATGGCTGGTACTGGCTATTAGCTTCATGATTCATTCTGAATTTTTTTTACTTACAAAATGCATATTATTTGTGTGTATATGCATGTTTGTGTCTGTGTAATTGCAGATGCATGTGCACACGTGTGGAAGCCTGAAGTGGTGTCTGGTGAAGTGTTTATTTAATTATTCTTTCACAATAAAATCTCAAGAGTCAGATATTGGGGTAAGAATCCGAATGATCAACAAAGTGGTGGAGAAGTGACCAGTGACTTCCTATCCCTTTTGTTCCTACATCCAAAAGGGCTGAGACCCTCTCTAAGCCCCACCCTATTACTTCTTGTCTCTCTGTCTGTCCTCAGTCCTCCAAAACGTCTATGGTTATTTTAGTAAGCTAATAGCTAGCTCTGCCCTTTGATTCAAAGCAATGTGTCAAAATTGTTGTCAGAATGTGTTCAAAATATCACACAACAATCCAGGGTCCTCTGTCACTCTCCACCTATATCTTTGAGACACAGTCTCTCCCTGAACCTGTCTAGTGTGGAAGCCAATAGGTCCTAGTAATCTTCCTATCTCTGCCCTCTTTGGAGCAGGGATTACAGGCATGCTTGGAATGCCCAGCTTGTTACATGGGTACATGGATCCAAACTCTGGTCCTCAAGATTGCATAGTAAGTGCTCTTAACTGCTGACCCATCTCCCCAGCTCCCTCATTCTGGACTTCTGATTACCAGCAGAGTAATTTGTGCCATTCTAAGTTACTAACTTTAGGGTCATTGCAGCAATGGTAGATTTAAATACATCTTCTGACGGTGAGGGAAAATGTACAGAAATAGTTAATTTTGGGTCTGGGTAGGCAAGAATTGAACACGGCATACCGAATGTTTTGCATTAGGAAGCTAGATTGTGTCTTAGGATGATGGCAGATGAAACAGAAATAAACAGGAAAGGTCTTAGAAGCAAATAGTCGAGGCATCTAAACTAGCAGAAGAAAGAATTGGACCCGAGCTTGAGTCCTAAAGACAGAATGCACTGAACAGAACATGCCCACCAGCAGTGTCGATGCTGGTGTCCTTCACAGCTCTGAGACTTTCCTTAGAGGTGTTCAGCCACCCCAACAGAAGAGCAAAGAAGGTGCCTGTGAGTCTGACTCGGGTTTGAGGTTTTACCAAGTGATGGGAATAGGGCAGTGTTTCCCATGGGTGGCATATGTAGCTTGAAGAATGGACAGGTTTTCAGGGGAGGAGTTTCCAGGGCTGCAGGGTAAAATGAGAAGAGGGAGAGTGAATGCTGGGTGGAAAAGCGGAAGTTCTGGAGAAACGGTGGGAGGGATGACCGTGCCTGATGGTGTGAAGTGGCAGGGTGTCTGATGGTGTGAAGTGGCAGGGCTGAGTGAGCAGGAGCTGCTGAAAGATGGAAGGGCTGATGCCTTGGAAGGAAGGCAGCAGAGCAATAGGAGGCAGCTGAGATTTGCAGCATGTCCTGAGGTTCCAGGTGGTTACCTGGGGTTGGGCTTTGGGATGGGCATGATGGAGTAAGTAATCACGAACCCCAGGGGGGCAGGGGTGAAAAGACATTGCTGATGCTCTGTTTGACTGGAGGAATTTGATGGTGGGACTCCAAGCTCCCTACAAACGTGGTATCTGCTTGTCATAGGGTTCCAGGTTGACTCATATCGCCCACTTGGGTGGGTGGAACTCATATTAGATCTTTGTCCACTGGGATCTCATTGACAAATGCTTTGGGTGGCTTTGCTCTCACTGTGTCCCACATTCTTTGCTGTTGCATAACTATAGAATTTGGGCTATTTTAAGCCACCTGGCCTTTTGCATATATTGTGTGCTTACGGTAGTAGAAGCGGCCTTGTCCACTTTGTCTGCCTGGTGAAATCACCAGCTCAGCTGCCATCTACTCCAGCAGGCTCCTCCATGTTCCCAATCCCCAGTTACAGCTCTCCAGGGAAATGCTCCCTCCTTCCTTTACATACACACACACACACACTCTGCAATCAATACGTAACCTCAGTCCACATTTTTCTCTCTTCTCATCCTAGGCACCAAAACTCACTGTGCCTTAATTTTCTATGTGTTCCCAACACTGAGAAAGCCCACAAACTAGAATAAATGTGGAGGGATTTTTAAGAAAAGCAACCGTTCTGATCAAAGGGGTTGTAATAACATAGCTGATATACTGGATGATTCCAGCCATTTTAGCCCTTTTGGACGGATGTACTCTTTTTCTAGAAGCAACTGCTTAATAACTTATTGTCCACAGTAAGACCACAGCAGCAATATAACAAAACATGGCTCAGTTTGGTCTTCCCAAGCCCAGCCTTATCCGGTTGCTAGAAAATTTCGATTCCTGAGTGGATTGCCCCCATGTTCTCACACAAATCCTCCTTTACTGGCTCCCTGGTCCCTCTATCAGGGGGGCAGTATCCCCTTCTTCTCACCACCTCACTCTCCTAGATCCTGTCATCTGTTCTTCTGGGCGTGAAAGCCCCGATGTTTGGAGTGGGGCCTAAACTTTCTGTGAACCTCGTGTCAAATCACATGGCTTCAGACAACCCGGGGGCCGTTTGAAATTACAGTTGGAATCCATGGAAAATGAATGACATGAGCAGCTGAGAACCCCGCCCCCACAGTCTTTAACCACCCTCCCCGTTTTTTTTTTTTTTTTTTATGCCACCTCCTCAGAACAAAATTTGTTAGCTGGGTATTTGAAACCTGAGCCTTGCACAAGAGTGAGGTGTTGATTGGGCCCATTCAGGGACTGGCAGCTGCTCCAAGGGGTGGGGTGGAGCTGCAGGTCCCCCCCACCCCCGAGGAGATCTCTGGTCTCCAGAGAGCTGCTGTTGAAGGGTCCTTGGGGGCTACCCCCTTCTGTTTTGCACAATCTATCTTTAGAGAACTGCAAGTTCATTTCTCAGAAGGGCCTCAGGGCAGAGATGACTTCTAAACGGGCAAACCACTTCCTGCAATCTTTAACTGAATTGAGGCTGGGGGGGGGCGGGTGTGACCATCGGAGGGGGGCTCCATTCACACTCGTCCAACCCTCTTGTCTTCCTACCGACCACTGCTGGCATGGACCCAAGGGAGATGGAGCCAAAAGTGGGCCCTAAAGCACCAAATGGGAGGCCACAAGTTAGAAACTCAAGCTTGTGTCCAAGGGTTAAGGATCCACAGGGACTGGAAGCGGGCAGGGCCCTGTCCTGAAAGTCTCGTGTCACACAGACACTCCTGCAACTAAAGACAATGTGAGATAGTCTTTGCCTACTTCCATGGACCTCCCCACCCCTAACATGGTGTCAGGAAGCTGTTTCAGAAATGAGCACAAAGCACATGGCTCTGTCTCCTTGTGGTATTGATAACAAATGAGTTATCATAATGACGACCCCCCCCCCCAGAGGAGACTCAAGCAATTGACTCCACAGAAAGATAAATTCATACAAAAGGAGAATGGGGTTTACTCAAATCTTGTTTCTATCATGTTGTAACTTCAAGGACATGGGTGGGTGTAGGACTCTGTGCCCCAATAATCATCCTAGAAGATGGCTGTGAAGTCTTTAAGAGATGATGGTCATGTAATTCTCATTTCATGGTTGGGTGTATAATATGTTTAATACATGCTTTTTCTTATTTTCTCAAAACAAAAAGCAATAGCCACTTTGGAGAGTTTGCTGATTCCAGGCCTTACCTCTGCATGTACCTTATCTAGGAGGTCAGTGGTACGAGTGTTGGGGCTTTGTGGAGTCTCAGGGTAGAAGAGACAGTGTCTTTGTGGGATTGTTCTCTGACTAACAGAAGAAATGTTTCCTCCTTTCCCCTGGGTTGTTATATCTCACATACTTCTGGATGCCTGTTCCTCCAGGACATCAAGTTAAAGGTGAGTTTCAGATAAAAACAAATGCACATGTAATAGGCATCTTTCCTGACACTGCATGGGACACACTTTTGCTATGTGATTATTTTTGGCTTATTTGTAATTCAAGGGCTGACAAGATGGTCCAGCAGGTAAGGACACTTGCTGCTAAGCCTGAATGACCTGAGTTCTAAACCTAACCTCTACATGTGTGGCATAGCTTACTCATAGTACACATACTATACCTACTACTACTGCTGGCCAACTTCAGCTTAATGAACTCCATGGTTAGCATCCTGCCATTGCACTTGGGCTACCCATTTGTGTCCTCCCCACCCCCATGCCATTATTCCTATTTTATGGAGGGGGAGGTTGAGTCACAGTGTCATCTGGCCAGGCAAGGGATCTGGTGAGTGGTGAAGTAAGAATGAACCTGGGAATGGTTGACTCTCGGTGAGCTTACAGAGTTACCCGGCTTTGTAGTCTAGAATGAGAGCCGTAGCTGGAAAGAAATATGAGCATTCGCTTTTTTTCTTTTATTCTTTTTTTTAAAGCATAAACTGCAAATAGGAAAGCAGCTGGATACTGTCTGGGAGGCCTGAGTTGCAGCCCACGAAGGCCAACATTCTGTGGACCATCTTTCTTCAGCATGGGGAGGTGGAGGCAGGCATTGGTGGCCTTCCTTGTGTAATGAAGTGTTATCTGATCACATTGGATATTTGATCACCGAGCTTTCTGATGTTTCACTTGAAGACAGAACCTTGGAAATGCAGAGAATAGATCCAATTGCAAGCTTGATAGTTCCTGTGCATCAAATGCCGATGGCAAAGGGGCTAGAATTGCCCCTCAGGGTCATTTCCACATGCAATTCAAAATAAGGGTTGTCAGCTGACATGTGGAAGGGGCCACTTTCCAGAAAGCTCCCAGGGTTTGCAGAGACAGGTGCTTGGCATCCATCTGGATGGCTGCTAATGTAATGACCACGGCTTTTGTCTGTGTCTTATCCTCATGTTTCCTCTCTTTTGCACACATGCATGCATTATAGCTATAGAACTACGCACACAAACATCACTATCTGCAAAATCCACATACAAATTGGAAAAATACATTTTAACTTTAGGAACAAAAACTAATCATATTCCATGAATTGTGCATATAGTTGTTAGTACTAGGATTTTAAATGAATCTATTTATTGACTCACCCATTCATTAATTCCTGGATGGATTTATTCAACAAACTTGTATTTCAGACCTATTGTGAGCTAAGCTATATGCTAAGTGCTAGAGGGTAAAGGAATGGGTGGAGTTCAACAATTACTTTTTTAAAAGCTTCATTTTTATTAGTTGTGTGTGTGTGTGTGTGTGTGTGTGTGTGTGTGTGTGTGTGTGTGTGTGTGTCTGTATGTGAATGTGCATGTGAGTGCAGGAATAGAAGAGGCTACTGGATACCCAGAAGCTGAAGTACAGGCAGGTGTGAGTCACCTGACTTGGGTGCTTGGAACTGAACTCCGGTCCCCTGCAATAACAGTAGCTGCTCTTAATCACTGTTCTGTCTCTCCAGGCCCCAGTAAATAGTATTAAACTCAACACATCAGTCTGGGCCAGGGATGAGAAGAAGACTCGAGACCGTGCCTCAGTTTATAACTGGGCTCTGATTTCCTAGCTTTGTGTCCTTGGAAGTCCATTTAACCCGTTGAGTATCAGTTTCCTCAGTTGTAAACTATTTTACTAGGTTACCAGGACAAGCCGTGACCAATTGCACGTAGCGTTGTACACACTTTACAGATGACAGTTTTAGCCCAGAGACATTTGGTATCTTGCTCAAGGTCACAACAATAGTGAAAAATAGACTTGAAATTGAATCTTGATATTCGCATCGCAAGAGTGATGTTTCCTCCACTTCTTTCCCATTTGCTTTTAAAACTGAACAGATTAATAAATTTCTTTTTCTAAGATATTCAGCAGTGTATTCTCTTGCTCTGGTACCATTATCTGATGGCTTCAGACCCTCTGGAGTCTGTATATTCTAAACCTTCATGACGCCCAAGACTATCACAACAGAGTTACCGTTTCTTTCAAGTTGAACCCAGCTATCACAGAGCCTCAAGTCACACAAACTGCCTGCCACCAATCTGATTTTAAACAGTCTCTGGATTTGAGGGATGTGTGGGACTGAAGACTCCCACCATCTTCCTCCTGTGGAACGTTAGCTCTTAAGTGTCCCACTTTCCTCTTCCTGACTTTTCCTTGTCTCTCCGCAATTCACCTTTTGAAACTATAAGCTCTTGATGTTGAAGGAATGACAATTTTAGCCATCATCTGCCCTAGAAAGGTGACCCTCAGACAATAGACGACCTCAGGAGGATGAGGAAAACAGCTGACTCCCACTGTGGACTCAGACTGTTAGACATGATAGCCCATTGTTCTCTCGCCAACACCAAGGTCCCTCTTTGAAAAGAGCCACGTGTTTGTACTCATGGGCTCCCATATTAATTCCTGTCAGACCTTAACATTGCCCAGTTGTGTACATTAAGCGCCTCTACATCCTTGGACTGATAGGTCCATCAATGACTTTCTGACCTAATTCTCAGACTGCTATTTGGCTCAGTCTTTCTACGATTCTCTCAACTGTTCAAAGGCTCTCATTTTGGTAGCTGTCCCAGGCTGACTTGGGAAAAACAAAGCAGTCTTCATTTTCCGATTTTATCATTTGAGTGACCAGCAGAAAGAACACAAATTTTAAGAAACAGCATTTGATTGTATATCCGATAGATAAACACACTCTTATATATATATATATATAGCAACATAGTAAAATATCATGGGTAAAGTTGAAGACACTTCTACAGTTTTTCTGAGGAAACTACCATTCAACTGGTAGATGTCCTACCAGGGTTTTATATCTACATCTTCATATTCATTGGTCTCTGAACATCTGTGTATTCTTGAACCCTTGTTGTTGAATCTATACTCTTCACAATCTAGTAATTTTTAATTCAGATGTGATAGTCATTTTCATTCTAGTACTTTACAGTGGGGGGAGAGGAAGAACTGTTAATTCATGGCACCCCGAAGACAGCTGCAGGCAGGTCATATCTCAACAAGAAATTTAATGAAGTCTATGGACTTACAAAGACACACACCATTGGTTTGCTTCTGTACCTAGTTACCATTCCCCGGTCCTGACCGCTAGGAGATCTGGCCGATAGCTTATGTTGCTATGGGTGCGAGAGAGTTTATAGGAGGGCGTTTAAGGGATGTGGAATTTTAAAGATGGAGCCACTTTAAAGGACAGTCTTTCTGACCTTGAAAAAGCAACTTCACCATACACCATCTTATGTGACTGCTTTTAAATCATCTGTGAGAGGGCACAAGGATGGCTCTTCGACCAAGCTCTTGAGACTATTGAAGGGATGAAGTGAGATAATGCAGGTTAAATCTTAAGTGCTGGCTTAAGGGCAGCTGTGGCATAGGATTTGAAGAATGTGTGCTCTGGGAGCAGAAGGCTGGATTTCAAACCTCGAGGCTGCACATCTTGAAGCTGAAATTCCATGTCTTGGCAGCAGGGGGCACTCTTGCACTTTCCTTAGGTTGTCCTAACTGGCTAACAGGCAGAAACAACTTTTTATCTCCATTGTCCAATTTAGTCTCTGGGTCCATTTGGGTGTGGAGAACAACCTTGTGTTCATTCACTGCGACTGTGAATCTCCAAAACGGCAAG